CCCCTTTGTACATCCTGCACCCCAACCCCCTGCCCTGAGCCCCCTGCTGCACCCCTGCCGCACCCTGCACCCCTCCTGCATGCCAGCCCCCTTCCCTGAGCCCCCTCATACACCCCACACCCCTCCTCTGCCCAATCCCTTGCCCTGAGCCCCTTCCTGCACACCGCACCCCCTCCCACACCCCACACTCCCTCCCGCACCCCAAGCCTCCTGCCCCTGCCCTGCATACAATTTCCCCACCCAGATGTAGCCCTTGGCCCAAAAAGTTTGCGCACCCCTGGTCTAGTAGATCACCATATATGGGGTCGGGAAGGAATTTCCCCTCAAGTCAGATTGGCAGTAATGTTGGGGGATTTTCACCTTCCTTTGCAGTGCCTTAGTGCAGGATTATCTGGTACATCTCACTTAATTGTTTCCCTGCCACTGCAGGGGCATTGCACACTGGTACACCTTGGTCCCTCCTATTCTGTGCCTGTGGCACAAAATAGTCTGATCTCCCTGGAAAGTAATACTTTGGTCTCGTTTTGGATGTTGGGTTTGGTGTGTGGGTGCTGGGTGGGGTGGTGGCAGCGGCGTGTGCTATACGGGAGGTCATACAAAATGATCTAATGGTCCCTTCTGGCCTTAAACTCTAGAACTCTGACATACCTTTTTGCAGGCAATTTCTGCTGATGTATTTCTGCTGATGTAAGTAATGGACACTTAACCATGTACAACTGGTAAAAATATGCCATTGAAAGACTGGACACATAGGTATTAATTTAAAATAAGTAATGAAATAGACAGCTTGGTTGTATCACCCTGCACTCTTTGCGTATGTTAATCTAAATAAACACTATAGCTGGCATTTGGTTTTCTTTCTGCAGGAAATTATGTTGCAGTGGGTAACATGACCCCTGTTATTGAGATCTGGGACCTTGATATAGTGGATTCTCTAGAGCCAGTCTTTTCCCTTGGAAGTAAAAAAGAAAAGAAGAAGAAGAAAAAGGGAAAGAAGGTAAATAATGCGTGTCTGCTGATCTGTTTAGATTGTAAAAGCTGCAGGCAGGGACCATGTCTCTGTCTTGTAAAGTTATGAGCCCAGTAATGCAAACAGATACTTGCATCTTTTTTTTTTTTTTAATTAAAGTATAAGGTCTGGTTTAGTTACCTTTGCCAGAGACACTGCATCTGAAAGATACTATTTGGGCAGTTCACAGAAACTATAAACGTGGCTCTATCCAAATAGCTGCTAATTTATATATCATCCAGCTCAAGAGCCCACTCTTCTGAGTAACTGAGAAAAGGATTTACTTTTTTACCCCCTCAGACCTTTAGATCGTAGAAGGCCCAAAGGAGAAGAGTAATGATTCTATGTAACTTGCTGCTGAAAAGTTTGGATATATACGACTGATGTTTGCAGTAGCATTTCATTAATTTAAAAACGTAGAGGATCTCTCTCACTTACAGGTTACTGGGTTGGGGAGGGAAAAATAGGAGGAGGAAGGATCCTGGAGGACTCCCGTTTACTCAGAACAATGTTCTATGTAGCTTAACTCTTTCATTTCTTAATTTAAAAAAAAAGGGGGGGCGGGGTAAGCATTAGGAGGTAGTGAATCAATGTTGATTGAGGAGAAGGGGGCAGAGTGGGAACCAGAACAATGGGAGTGAGCAGAGAGAATGTGGGGATTCTCCATGCCCACTGGTGAATATTTGAATCTGTGCCAGCTGGTGAAAGGGAGTAGCTATTGCTGCATGCTGGCCAGATAAGGGAAGAAAGGGGAGAAGAGGCAAGCTGAGAGGAGGTGCTGCAGAGGCAGCTCTGTACAGAGAGCCTTTCAGCAGGTGGGAATACGTTGAATTATCACATTGTTCATAATCTGCGCATATAACAGTACGTTAATGAATAATAAATACATGATTTTTCCTGGAAGCTATAACTTTTTTACACCTCTTTAAAATGTATCTGTCTACAGAATTCATCTACAGAAGGGAATCAGGATGGGCATACTGATGCAGTTCTTGACCTTTCATGGAATAAGCAAAACAGGTAAAAGAACACTTGAATGATTACATACAGATAACTATAAATTAGTGTACATGGTTTTGTATGAAATATTTATACATACCTATAACTTTATTGCTTAAAGATCAACTTAACGTAGTGCAGAAGTTATTCCAGCTGAAAAGTACTTGAATTCTACACAAGCGAAAATTGAGACTGCCTCAGTTTTTATCAACAGGCAGGGAGGAGCGAGATCCTCCTCTCTGTGCACTGAAGCTATGGAACTATGGGATTTGTGCATAGCTCATCAGATGCAAATTTCAGCAGTCTACCTCACAGGTATTCAGAACACCACACCCAATATTTTCAGCAGACACTTCTCACAGGATTACGAATGGGAGCTAAACACCGAAGTTCTGCATAGTATATTCCGAAGATGGGGGCTGCCAGAGTTCCAGGAACAGGAAGTGTCCTCGTTTCTGTGCAGGAGGGTTTGGGCAACCACTCCTTGGGAGATGCCATTCTTCTATCTTGTGTTTCCTCCAGCACTACTGATACTAAGGGTGATGAACAAGATAAGACAGGACAGAGTCCAATTTATCCTGATAGTGGCAACCTGGCTGAGACAAGCTTTGTACCCTTACCTGCTTCATATGTGTGTCCAACCGTCATTCAAGCTCCTGACCGTTCTACATTTCCTGTCACAGGATGTGGGTTGTGTGCTTCATCCCACTCTAGTGGTTCTCCGCCTGATGGTGTGGCTTCCAGATGATTTACGGGGTTAGAATCCTCCTGCTCTATAGAAGCACAGCAGGTCTTACTGAAAGATCAACCCACATTACTTACCTGCAGAAATGGAAGAGTTTCTTCTATTGGCATTGCTGCCTCCAGCTTGATTTGGTGCCACTTTGTCATCGTGGTTTACATGTTGGATCTAAAGAAATTGGGATTATCAATTAGTTTGATTTAAGTTCCATTTGGCTGCAATATCAACCTTCTTCCTCCAGTAGAAGGATTCTCCATATTTGCTCATCCAGTATTGTTTAGGTTTAGTAAGGGTTTGGGGAGACTCTATCGACAAATTAGAAACCCTATCCCAACTTGGGACCTCAACCTGATACTCAGTTACCTTATGAGACCTCCATTCGAACCAATGGCAACCTGTTGTCTGTTACATTTATCTATAAAGATGGACTTTTTAGTAGCTATCATGTCAGCCCGTAGCGTCGTGGATATTGGAGCCCTAATGGCAGATCGCCCCCCATCCCCACCCCTTACGGTCTTCTTTAAGGACAAGGTCTCTGTACATCCATACCCTAAATTCTTACCTAAGATTCTTTCGGAGCTCTGCCTTAATCAGTCCATTCATCTACCAGTATTTTTGCTGAAGCCACGTGGTTCTCTACAGGAATCCTGTTTACACATTCTAGATGTTAGAAGGGCATTAATCTTCTACTTAGATAGGACCCAGCAATATAGGAAGTCACCTAAGCTCTTCATTTCTTTCATGAATAGATTCACAGGGTTCTCGATTTCTGCTCAGAGACTGTTGAGGTGGCTATCTGGATGTATTATTATTACTTGTTACGATACTGCAAGCATTCATCCCCTCCTTCCCTGCCTCTTCCCCCCTCCCCCCCCAAAAAAAAGGGTGATAGCATATTCAACTAGATCACAGGCAATATCTATGGCATTACCAAAGTATGTACCAGTATCTGAAATATTTAGGGCTGCTACATGGGCTTAGGTCCATATGTTTTCAAAACATTACACCCTGGTCCAAGCTGTCAGATTCAATGCAGCATTTGGTTCTGCAGTACTGTTGGCAGCACGGGATTCTATTCTGAAGCTCCCTCCTCCATCAGGGGAAACTGTTTGGAAGCCACCAGAAGTGGAGCAACCATCAGGACAGTACTAGAAGAAGGAGAAGGAGAAGATGAGTGCTCACTTTGTGCAGTAACAGCGGTTCTTCAAGATGTCTATCCCTATGGGTGCTACACTACCCGCCCTCTTACCCATCTGCTTTAGACTGTTCCTTAGGGGGCGTTTGGGTGGAGAAGGAACTGAGGGCACTTTGCCCATACACTCTATATAGCCTTGGTATCCAGCATGAGGAGCTCATTGGGTATGTGCACAGGCCGAACGGGCACTGCTAACTGAAAATCTCTGATCAAGGGCTCAAGAAGTACATGCGCACCTGAAGTGGAGCACCCATAGGCACGCACATCTCAAAGAACCGCAGTTACTGGACAAGGTGATTAACCCCTTCTTCCTATCACCTAGGTTGTCTTTCAGTAACACAATTAGTACAGGATCCTCAGCCAGGGTCTTGTAAATGGCTTTTCCAATTAGATACAGTATGATCTTTTCCTCCTGCTGCTAACTCTCTCTGAGGATACACTTGTCAGTTCTGCATACTCATTTTCAGCAGCTGTCAGCAATCTCCTCTGAAAACTCCTGGTTTTATCCGAATATTACAGATGAAAAGATTCTCCTGTAGATATTCACTGAACATACAAGAAATTATTAGATGTTAATTGGCCATGTGTTGTCTACTGAAAAAAAAAGAATGAGTCAAATGACTATGGTGAATGTAAGAAATGATTTAGTGATGGCTCAGTCAATGGTACTCAGTTTGTCTGCAATCGTTCAGCCTTTATCATGGCTAACACCAGCAGCGTGTAACTAGAAAGTCACTTTCATGATGACTAAAAGCAGCTGATCTTTGTAGGAGTAATTTGAGTGACCTTGTATAATATTAAGCCCCTGTACGAAGCTGAATAAGTGATTGGCATTCCTGGCTCTATAATGTACTGAGTAATATAACCTTGTTGACACCAGTGGAAGTTGTAGGAAAAATGAATCCTGAAATGCAAAGGTTGGGTGCAAGTCAAGAACGCAAAGAGCAATCTTAGTGCAGCATTTTAAATTGCATTTTAAAAAGTAAGACAAGCTATGACAGCTGTCTACAAATCGCTTTCTGGCTGAAGGGCCTCACTGGCATTATTTGTAAAATGTCCTTGTAATCTGTACTGTGCCTTCTGTAAATTTCCCCTCTGTGGCGTCGCTTTGGGGGAACAGTATTTTGGAGGAATGTTAGATGTCTTTCAGTCAAGAACTTCATTCTAATATGGAAAGTGGGGGGGAAGGCTTCAAACTGTGTGTTAGATTTTATAATTTAACACCTTTAGACAAATAAGGGTGATTTTTGTTGTGCATTTAATAAATCTCTGACACTGCTGCTTGGGCTTTGTCTGATTCAAGTTCTTATCTCTGTATTTACAGCCCTTACCACCATTAATTTTTAAATATGAAACGAGGGCCCAAATGTAAAAACCTTGCAAGTAGCTCCTTTGACTTCAGTAGGATGACTTGTTAGAGTAAGGGTACATCTACACTTACCTCCCGGTCCGGCAGCAGGCAATCGATGTTCTGGGATCGATTTATCGCGTCTAGTCTAGACGCGATAAATCGATCCCGGATCGATCCCGGAAGTGCTTGCCGTCGACGCCGATACTCCAGTTCGGCATGAGGAGTACGCGGCATCGACGGAGGAGCCTCCCTGCCGCGTCCGGACCCGCGGTAAGTTCGGACTAAGGTACTTCAAATTCAGCTATGTTATTAACGTAGCTGAATTTGCAGT